AATGGAAGGAGCAATAATACAGACAAATCAGAATAAACGGCTTTAAAAGAGCAAAAAGTGTTGTAAAAGGAAGCATCGCTTCCAAGGAAAAACAGATAAGAATATTGCAATATTCAGTTATACACTTCATTCAATATTAAAGTTATTTAATAGTAAAGACACGGTCAGCCATAAAGATAATGCCACTCTGGGACGCATCTAGGGTCCATCTAATTAAGTACTCTAATGCTGATCACACCTAGAACCAGGTACATTACAGGAAACTGGGAAAAGAGGTAACTATAGAGAGGTAGATAACCTTCCTTCTTCAGTGATCGTAGCTATTAGGAAAGTATGATTTTAATCTAAAATACTTCGCATTTCCCTTCAGTACCCTCTGTTTGGCAACAATTCTCATAATCTCTATATTCTTGTTATTCAAAGCCTTCTACTTCTAAAGTTTGGAGCTCAAACTACCACACAGTGTAAATATCAGTCACACGAAAGACTGTTTGCCACCAGTTATTGGTGCTATTTATATAAAACTGTGCTGATTCTCTGCTAGCAACTGAGCCACGTCATAATTCATGGCCCACTGGCTCTCTTTTTATAAATAAAAAGCTTTTTTCAGCTACTTTTTCTGAAACCTCAACCTCCACTACTATCTCATTCCTAACAAAAGACAGCACATCTACAAGAGGACTCTTGGACTCAGCATCATAACTTAGGTGCTGAAGACTATCACTAAAAAATTACTGTAAATCTTAATAATATCATCATCCCCTTGATCTGTTAGTAATGAATAAGCCCTGCTATGTCATGTTCCTTGGACTCCTTTTTAAGAAAGAGTTTTGAATTATTCTCCTGAGTTTAAAAAGCAAACAGCTTTTGGATTTAAAGGACTGTCTGAAAACGAAGTGTTTTCAACAGGAGCGTCAATTATCTACATCTCCATAATCAGTATGCTATTTCCTGATGTCATGGTAAATCTGAATAATTTTCAAGACATACATTGCTCTTCAGTAACATTATTATAAATGACTCAACATACAGTGAAGTGAGTGCATGTTTGGCAAAATTCCTATGGAGTGTATGAATTTCTGAAATTCTAGCTTCTGCTCAGATTTTTCCTTCCTGTGTAACAGGCAAAAACAATTACCACAATTTTGTAGAAAACAAATGATGTGCTGTTTTCAAAAAATGTTTAATTCTTGTTTTGAATGGACCTAACAATTGTCTCAGCCTTATTTATTTATTGGTGGTTGAAGAGAATTTCTAAAACTTTAAACTCAATCAAAGATGTAAAATCTCACATTCTATCACCCCCAAAGGAGACAGACAGCATTGTCTCTTGAAATTGAAACTCTTGACCTAAATCTGATGTAGAACAGCTTCCTTTATTTGTGGTAAAAAAAGGCTTTTGAGAGCATATTGTTAAGCAAACTGTTTAAAAACAAAACAGAACATCACCACTGCCAATAAAGGTCTATTATTCTGATTTTGAGAGCAACAGCATGCAATATTTGTTCATTCAGTTGTGTTTTATATATTGAAATATCTGTTGCCCAGTATTAAGGGAGAAATACTGTTTCGAAACTTGATAAAAGGGCATGGACAAAAAATGCCCACATTTACGTCTCTGGTGTCAGCTGCACAAGCTTTGTACTTTTTTTTTTTTGCTAACCTGTATGCACCATTCCCTCCATCTAAATAAAATTTTTAATAGCACTTCCACAAATAAATACTATAAGCTTTCCTTATAGCAAAGGACTGATATTTAGGTTGCTAGGTATCAATTGATATGCTCAGCACTTCAAAACATCAAGTAAAGACCTTCAACAAAAAATTTCTGAGAGAAGTAAAACGACTGCAATTCTCTCCTGAAAATGAAAAGCTCTATCAGC